AAGTTCTCCGTTTCTTTCCCTTCCATGTAATAGAGAACTCTGGTTGGTTCAATTTCTTATGCCTCATGTGTTATGCGTTATGCAATAGTCTGTGCTCCCCGCTTAAGGGCCGCGACACAGACTTTTGCATAACGCATAATGCATAGAGCATAAGCGAATCAACTAATCAAAATCTTTCCTTTCCTCTCATTCCATGGAAAAGAAGAATTTTGATTGATTCCTTTATGCACTATGCATTAGTCCGGATCTACAATAGCGTTTTAAGCCTTAAGCGATAAGAAATGGCTTAAATGAAATGGGCGAATCACAATCGCTTATTCTTCTCGGATTCGGCTGTAATTGGTAAATTTCTTATGGCTTAAGGCTTAAAACACCTATTGTAGATCCGGACTTATGCGTTATGCAAAAGCTTGTGTCTGGGCTCTAAAGGCTCTCGCACATGAAATGCATAACAGAGCATAAGCATAATATAAGGCCGCTAAACCAATGAGCATCTTATGTAAATCAATATGGCGACATTATGCTAGATGCTCATTGGTCCAGCAGTCTTATGTTACGCTTATGCTCTGTTATGCATTTCATGTGCGATAGCCTTAAGGGTGCGTTCCGTTTCACACATGACCGCATGGAACGCAGCGCATCCTATGCGCGCATTAACTCGGTTCTTTTTTCCCATGCCCATACAGCGCATAAAGAAACGGAACGGATCCTATGCAGTTCATGCATACGATTGTAAACAGTCTAGATAAAAAATATAAGTCTAATGGGTATTTGGAATAAATATTACATTGCTGCTTTTTAAAGAATCTTGATGTTCAAGATTACAAAACTTATATACGATATTATTTCGGGTAAAAAATTTTTCATGTATAAATATAAAATTTGTATCTACAAACATATAGCGTTTTCGATTGGGCAAAAGTTAGTGCACACCAGTGCGCACTCAGTTCACACCAACACTGGACGAGTTCCATGGGTTGCACTAAATAGTGCAAGTTCAAAAGAATACGCCAAGATTTTCAGTGCTAAAGCTGAAACTCATTTTTGTTCACTTTGAAGCAATGTTCAACAAAATGTTACAAAACCACAGTAAAAGATATTAAGAG